TTAATCGTAACTAATTGTAACTAATTCTAACTGTATACTGTAATGAGTATGCTTAATTTTAGATGTAATAACATTGTAAATTGTGTAAGACACAAATTTGTTCTTGCTATTTTGCATGTCATATACACAGCGCGGCTAAATCAAGGCGTTGTTTTTTCTGAGCTTGTTTATTGTGGATTTCGTATAAGTTCTCTTTGTTACGTGAAATCGAATAATCCTACTGAACAGGAACAGAAAGTCAGTAGAAATTAGCATGTATGTGATTAGGGTGCTTTATTTTCCTTCATATTAAGTAGGGGTCATATTCTCAGTGTTTTTTGAAGGGGATTCTATTGTGTTTATATTCTACAATACCAAATTTTATTCAACTGTTCTTCGGACATCTTTATTGTGCATTATTAACATTTTTGTTCTGCAATAATTCGTCGCGTAACTTGTTAAATCTTGCGACAGTTGAAATAGTTGCATCCTTTTGATGGGTGAATTGCACTCGAGTCTCTTAATTTTCCGGCTTTCATGACTTAGTGTAATTTTCCTCTCGCATTTGATTCCATACTTATCCATCTTTCTGCCGTCAAAAGGATGTTTACTACGCAGTTCATTCTGCATTAAACACTGAGTTGTCTCTCACAGATTGGCTTTTTAATCTTTTGTATATACATTTTGAGGACCTTGATGCGTTCGCTATTAAATTATTGTTTTTGATACATATTTCAAAATCGTTCGAATAGACTTATTATGGGTCAAACATGCGTGAAGCTTTGCAGTCAGAGTTGCGTCTCTCGTTTTCTTCGTGGTCTTGGAGTTCGTCGGCCACCACCTCAGCGTGTGGAAAATCATCTCATTGAAGAATCAAGTGATGACTCAAATGCCACCGGTGATAATATTAAATCCCCCTCAAAATGTAAATACGTTGATTATCCTTTCCTCGTCAATCGAGAGATCGGTGAATGGATCGTCTTTACAAAGTTCATGATCATTCTCAGAGGTCCACCGGGGTCTGGAAAATCACGCCTAGCAGGTTACATTAAAATGCGTTTTCCAACTGCTCATGTAAGCCTTTCAAAATTCTTATTAATAATCCTTAGATATGCAGTTCTGATAATTATCATTCTTCCAGTATCAAATACTTTGAAGACTACCAATTTGACAGCGACCGTCATGAGTCAGCACTCCACGACTGTGAAGCAGAGGCAAAACTATACGCCAGCCGGGGAATAAGTCCCCTTGTCATCGACAATGCTAATATGCGGTCGTATGAATGTCGACCGTATACGGAGATAGCTCGAGCATTTGATTACAATGTGATAATGGTAATACCCCGAACACCTTGGAGATTTGACGTTAGATCTTTGGCTGAATACAATGCCCATAACCTTTCCGCTGAAATGATCAGTTCAATGGTATCTCAGTTTGAGCCAATTGTTTATCCCCTATATTATGGTTGGGCTTTCGCTGGCTCACCAAGTTCCAACACTCATTTGAGCATTCCAATTGAAAAAGGGGATAAACTCCTCCCTAACGAGGTAACTGAAAAAATGATAAAAGAGTTTCATGATTCCTTCTTTTCTGCTCTGGACTTACCTTACGTACGCAAGCGATTGGCCTTGATTTGTGGGTTTAATCAAGGTAGGCAAGTTTTGCTAATCATGCAGTTCATTTTATTTAATTAACTAGATTCAAGTTTGTGTTTGGTTTGTATTTAGACATAAATAGAGACCAATTGGCCACTTTTTGGTCGTCAGCGGTTAACCCCTGGTTTGGTGATGTGTCTGAACCCTATCGGACAGACAAACCTGCGCGCCCACACTGCACAGCATTCTTCGCCCAGCATGGTCATGCTCCTGGGGCCTCTGAATATGCACAAAAAACTGCTGTTCGCGAGGCCTTGCTGGGATCCATCGACGAGCTTTGCGTGGAAGGTCTCTTTATCACTAAACGGACGGTTGGACTTCGTATCCACCTCTCCGATCCAGATCAGCTTGCCCTTTGGGGTGGTCTTGACAACGAACCAGTGGATGGACATGGTGCTAAATTTGCTGCTTCTTATCCTCCAGTGTTGATTTTTTTTTTTAGTTGAATACTTTTTTTCCGTTTCTGTTAGTGACTCCTCAATCGCGACCACAGGGTTGCCGAGCCCATGTAACTTTGGCCTTGGCTTCCGGTGTGCCTGCAGTTGAAACAGGTTTTGACGCTCTGCGCATTATGGATGCTGAATTACGTCAGCTTCCAGATGTGTACACAGCTGACATGCCAGATGGCATCCTTCGAGAGCTTCCCATCTCCTCGTCAGCTGATTCTGAGAGTTTGGATAACATCTTCTACTATCAGTATTCCACAGCAAAAACAATTCGCCTTATGTACACTGCGTTTTATTAGGATCTCACGCCTATCCCTCTTGCATTCGTTTGATTCTTGGGCTTTCACTTTAGACAATCCTTTTAATTTGGCGTCATTGTTTAACTGCTTTGTATCTGCAATAAAC